GAAATAAATTGCTACAAAAATTTGAATTATACGGAGCCTTCATTACTTGTGGCTTGCTTAATTAAATTAGCGAACACTTGTACCGGTAACTACTTCTTCTTGCACGGATATTTTGAATCCATGCACCACAATCCTTAGACAATATTTTACCGTATATGAATAAACGCATGATTGGGGCGGGTGATCGTGGGTTACCCATGCTGTTTCAAATTCTATTATGCCGTTTCATATTATGTTATGCCATTTCAAATTGTATTATGAGTTATGACATTTCAAATTATGTTATGCCATTTCAAATTATGTTATGCCATTTCAAATTATGTTATGCCATTTCAAATTATGTTATGCCATTTCAAATTCTATTATGCCATTTCAAATTCTATTATTCCATTTCAAATCCTATTATGCCGTTTCAAATTCTATTATGTCATTTCAAATTCTATTATGCCATTTCAAATTCTATTATGCCATTTCAAATTATGTTATGCCATTTCAAATTCTATTATGCCATTTCAAATTCTATTATGCCATTTCAAATTCTATTATGCCGTTTCAAATTCTATTATGCCATTTCAAATTCTATTATGCCATTTCAAATTCTATTGTGCCATTTCAAATTATGTTATGCCATTTCAAATTATGTTATTCGATTTAAAGAATATAAATTGAGTGCAAGGATAACATAATTTGTATTCGAATTTTGACCCTAATAACGCTTCATAACCTATAGGCTATAATTATAAAACAAAATAAGTTCAAATTGTTGAGTAATTTCAGTTCGGTTTTCAAATTAATTTGCTCTCCTTTACATTTTACCTTTTATTCTTAAATTAAACAGGGTAATTTAGCAAACTTTAATACAGCTTCATTGAAAAGGAAAGCAGTGTATGTTTTACGCAATAAATTAAAGCAACAAAATTCATAAACATTAAACATTCAAAGCAAACTTGCCCTATATTCCACGAATTGCTTCAAAGCTCATTGTGTGAAACGTGATTTTCAAAATATATGCTTTTGAAAATGTTGCTTATCCCACTCCTGGCAAACAGCCATATTTTTTAGATCAGTGAGGATGACCACCCACGGTTGGTGACTGACGCCCGCGCTCATTGATGAACTTTAGACTTGGCTAATGCTTCCCTTTTCCCCGGGTGTAAATAGCCGGGGGGAATTAGTACCCTCGCACGGCGCTTCGCGTCGTCGGCTCGGGATGAATTTAAGGTAATTCCGCAGTTTTGCATTGCGCACTTTTATTGCGCACATCTTATAACTTATAATTTCATCCATTATACGTACCGTTTAAAAAAATATCATTTTATGACAATTTTATGTTACTTCAAAACATCTTTGGTTACATTCGTGCAAAGAATTACGTTAAAATCAATGTTTTCTAAAAAGCGGCATACAAAAGTGCCGGCTAGGGTTCCTGTGTCTGTAGTATATTTATTTACTTGTATTTCACGTTTTAATGCCATGGTGACCCCCGTTTTTTAACTGATAATTTATTTCTTTAATGAGGGCCCCCTATACTTTTTGCGTGAAGCGTGATGGGCTTATTTTACTTAGCCGTGAAACGTGATCGATGATTTTCTTAATCCGTGATTCGTGATTGTATGACTTCCAATCTTTTTACGTTCACGCGAAGGAAAGATTCGATTTAACCGTGACCCGTGAATGGCAGATAGAAATATTCGTGATTCGTGAATCATCTGTTTTGTGACCTTTTGTGTGATCAGCTTTCCAAGGAATAAATACGGTTTGTTGCTGTTTTTTGAAGTACTTGATGTACAGAAGCCTGTTTTCGACATAGTTGGAGGTTTGAAAGCATGTCGAGGTAAGTACAGACGAGTACAATGATTCCACAATTAAGGAAGACATCCTATAATATTTCGTGAACTTTGTTTTATTTTTACGTGAATCGTGATCGCTTCCATTTTTCCGTGAACGTGAAGGAATTTTTTCAATTTTTCGTGACTCGTGAAAAGGCAAAATATTTTTACGTGAAAGCATTTTGTGAAGAGGTATAGGGGGCCCTCTTTAATGCATTTTACATTTCATATCCGAAATTAAAAGAAAAATCATTTCTGGATCTGGAAAAAATGGTTTATCAATGCATGTCCTCAAAGAAAGATATGTAAAGAAATGTGGAAAACACATTTGTGGATCAGAATTGTACACGTTAGTAGTTTCATTTTGCTCGAAACACAATATTTTTTCAAAAATAATTACAAGATAGGTTTACTAAGTAAAATCCGCGCTAAAAACGTCAATAAATATCGGGCTGTTGTGATTTTGCTGTTACTCGTAATGAGCGTCAAGATGGCGCCATATTGGGAAACGTGATTTTCAAATATTATTGCGATTGTCATTGTGACGTATGCTTGTGTTTTGTTGAAATTATCGTTAGGGTTCGCTGTGGCATAATCAATATAATATATGCAAAATGGCGCGTAAAGAAACGTTTTTTGTACGTTGAGATGTAATATGTCTTGTGTAATATGTTCAAATTTGTCCTGAATTTATATTAAATATTACGATAATACAGTCCATCGAAGTTTTTATAACATGGTCCTTCGAGAGCCGGATTACCGGCAATTCTAAATATATTATCACGGAGAATATTGGATTTGAGCCTGTGGTTTATTCAGAACATTTCGAGTTGGAGTCTGGAATTTGAACAAAATTTGAGCAGTAACGTGAGATCTACACTAGTTAGTGGGGAATTTACTTTTATAATCTTGGAGATACGAGCCTGGAGAACTTCTGTTGTTAAAAGATTTAAGGTTATTGTAGTTATTCTTATATAAATTTTCTGGTTATTTGTGGATTTTGGACGAATATTGTCTCTGTATTTAAACGCTGTTAGTTATAAATATGAGCACGGATTTATCGAGGAAGAAAAAGTTAAGAGGGGCTCATCGAGCGTCCGCCACACGACTTCAAAAGACGGTGAGTGAAGTACTTATTTCTTTTGACCCAAATAATCTGGAAGAAATTGTGCCCAAACTGAATCAACTTAAAACTAGCATGAAAGAAAAACTTGAAACTTTAAAGGTCCTTGATGAGGAAATTCTTGAACTAGTTGATGAAGCTAATATTGAAGAAGAAATAGAACAGTGCGATATTTGTAGAGAAAGCTTGCAGTTGGCTTTAGAAAATGTAGAAAGAGCACTTAATACCTCCAGCATGTCTAGTTTAGCTGTGTTATCGAATGTGACTGAAAATACAACAAGTAACAACCCCACCAGTACCCAGTCAAGCCCCCACATCACCTCAAGGCTCTAGTGCTAGCACTGCAAGCACTGCAAGCACGTCGTTACTACAGAATCAATATTCAAGTCAGCATGATACATCAAATGAAAATGGAATGCCAAATCTGGGTCAGCCTTCTATGTCAACTGTGAATCAACCCCAACCAGTAGAGCATCCTACCATACCACCTGCATCAACCGATAACCCTGGGGAGCATCCAGCTGTCCAACCAATCAATCATGTAGCACAAGTAAAATTGCCAAAATTAATCCTTAAAAGGTTTTCTGGGGATCCTAGTCAATGGAACCCATTCTGGGATACATTTGAAGCCTCCATCCACAACAATCCCTCCTTAGCACCGATTGATAAATTCAATTATCTCAAGTCTTTCATGGACGGAGCTGCTGCTGAATCCATTGCTGGATTGTCTTTAACTAATGCTAATTATGAAGACGCAATTGTTATTTTGAAATCAAGGTTTGGGAACAAACAGCAAATTATAAATCGACATATGGATATTCTGTTAAATCTTCCATCAGTTAATTCTGAAAACAACCTGAAGGGTTTGCGCCAACTTCATGATACGGTGCAATCACACATTAGAACCTTGAAATCTATGGGAGTAGCCCCTGAATCTTATGGTGGCCTTCTTTCTTCAATGTTAATGTCCAAGCTACCAACAAATCTACAGCTGGTTGTTAGCAGAGTGGTTAAGGAAAACGAATGGAATTTGGACAAACTATTAAATACCTTGCAGCAAGAGTTAGAAGCCAGGGAGAGAATTAAGGTACCTGCAACCAACAAGGATTTTAAGAAATATCACGGTTCAGCCTCAGCATTGATGGCCGGTAATAATCCAAGTTGTACTTACTGCAGGGGGTCCTGCAGTAAGTACAACTTGGATTATTACTGGGGGATCAAGGGACTGTACAACTGTGACTAGTCCTGCTGCTCGTCAAGATATTTTACGGAAGACGGGGAGATGTTTTGTGTGCCTAAGAAAGGATCATATCAGTCCAAGTTGCAAGTCAACAACACGGTGCTACTCGTGTAAGGGGCGACATCATGTTAGCATATGTAAGGGTAAGAAGCCACCTCATAGGGACCCTCCTGAGGAACATGGGCAAAGCGGATCCAACAAGTCAAAGGAAAGTCCTAGTTTGGGAACCCATCCTGACGCAACTGTCTGTCACACGACCTCATCGAACTGTGTCCTTCTCCAAACCGCAAGAGCAAATATATATAACCCAGATAATCCTAATGGTCCCAAGGTCAAAGCGAGACTAATCCTGGATGGCGGCAGTCAGTGCTCGTACGTCAGCAGAGCACTGACGGGAACTCTCGGTCTGCAGTCAAAGGGTCAAAGGTCGGTAAACATAAAAACATTTGGCTCTAGCGAGACTAATGCTCAAGTTATTGATGTGGTGAATCTTGGAATAGAAACTGCCTATGGAGCAAACATTGAAATGTTAGCATTTAATGTGCCATTAATTTGTCAGCCATTAAAGAACCAATTCGTGTCAAATGCTAGCAAGACCTACGTACCCTCATCTCGCCAACCTCCACCTAGCTGATTACTCATCTGGGCAACACGATGCGAAAGTGGATATCCTGATCGGTTCAGATCATTACTGGAAGATCGTGACCGGGAAAACCAGACAAGGAGATAGTGGTCCGACTGCCATTCAAACGAGGCTTGGTTGGGTTCTCTCTGGGCCTGTTGGAAACGAACCGCGGCAATTAACCCACACCAGCAATCTTGCTACAATCCACACCCTCAAATGTGCCTCCGAAGAAGTTGAGTGTAAGAATGATGTCCTTGTACAAGAACTGAAGAGATTTTGGGACTTATAAACTCTCGGTATTCAACCACAGTGTGTGTACGAAGAATTCCTAGAAAGCATTAAGCATGAAAATAATCATTATGTGGTCAATTTGCCATGGAAACCTGATCATGCTGAACTGCCTGATAACTATGATCTTAGCAAGAAACGTCTATTAGGGTTGCTGAAGCGACTGCGTAATGAGCCAGAAGTCCTTAAGGAATATGACAATGTGATAAGAGATCAGCTTAACAAAGGAATCGTGGAGTCTGTGCCCGAACCAAATAAAGGAGCCAAGAGAGTGCACTATTTACCTCATCACGCAGTTATCCGTCGAGATAAGGAAACAACCAAATTGCGAGTAGTGTACGACGCCTCGGCGAAGTCAAGAGGACCTTCGCTTAATGACTGTCTGTATAGTGGTCCCTCGCTGACTCAGAACATTGTTGACATTATGCTAAGGTTCCGTGCATACAAGGTGGCCTTAACGGGAGATATCGAGAAGGCCTTTCTCATGATTCATGTAGCGGAGTCTGATAGGGATGCATTGAGATTTCTGTGGTTCGATGATATACACAGCCCAAACCCTAAGATTATCCCACTTCGATTCACCAGAGTAGTGTTTGGCGTATCCTCCAGTCCTTTTCTACTAAACGCCACAGTCAAACACCACATCGAGCAATACCGGGAAGATGACCCTAGTTTCGTGGAAGCTGTTCTGAATTCGATCTATGTGGATGATCTTATATCCGGAGGTGAAAATGTGGACAATGCATTCAAACTCTATGAAGATTCAAGGAGCCGATTGGCAAAGGCTAACTTCAATTTGCGAAAGATTACCACGAACTCTAAAGAACTCCAAGAGCGTATATGCCAAACCAACCAACTAGTGACAGTGAACAATGCATCTGACGGAAGTAACATGGCCAGAGCTGATAGCAACAAGTCCCAGCAGTTGGTTCAGGAGGAGCAGTCATCTTACACCGGAAGTACGTTGGGTCCTCCCCTTCCAGCAAGCGATGACAAGCAGAAAATTCTCGGAATCTTATGGGATTCTTACGAGGACAATCTTATTATTGATATCAAGGATGTTGCAGATTTGGCGCAGATGGTTCAAGCTACGAAGAGAAATGTGATCAGTGTTTCTTCCAAGATTTATGATCCTATGGGGTTTATATCCCCATTGACAATCAATTTCAAGCTGTTGTTTCAAGAACTTTGTCTGGCGAAGGGTGACTGGGACCATCCACTTGAAGGAACACTGAAATGCAATTGGCAGAAATTAGTTGATAACCTAAAGGACGTCCAACCTGTTGTTATTCCGAGATGCTATATTTCTGACATACACGAGCAAGTTGTATCCTACGAGCTTCACGGGTTTTGCGATGCCTCTATCAAAGCATATGCTGCCGTAATATACCTCAGAATCATCACACCAAATGCCTCTTATGTCCAGTTGGTGATATCGAAGGCAAGAGTGGCACCCTTAACTAAACAAACGATCCCAAGGTTGGAGTTACTGTCAGCGCTCGTGCTTGCCAGATTAATGAACGTTACTCAGAAAGCCCTGAAGTCTGTGATTGAAATCTCGAAGGTGCAATGCTGGACGGATTCTAAGGTTGCATTATATTGGATTACGCAGCAAGAGAAGGAATGGAAACAATACGTACAGAGTCGAGTGGAAGAGATTAGAGCGCTGGTTCCTGTAGAGTATTGGAGTCACTGCCCAGGTGCAGAAAACCCCGCAGACATTCCGTCACGTGGTATCCTGCCTACTCAACTAGCATCATCTACATTGTGGTGGTCTGGCCCAAAATGGTTGTCCGCCACAGAGAGCCCTGCTAAAGAGAACATTGATAACGATGTTGTACCTGAAGAGTGTCGAATTGAGATGAAGGTCAAGGACCAGAGAGCTTTAGACAAAGAGACACTTTCAACGATGATAGTGCATGGATCGAAAGATTCCATAAGCAATGTTATTAACTGTAAGGACTACAGTAGCCTGGGTCGTTTGCTAAGAGTAACGGCTGTTGTCTTGAAGTTCATCAAGCTACTAAAATCGAGAGTTAAACAGGAAGATCCTCCAACAAACTCGGAAGTTACAAGCACCGACATCGAATTAGCTCGAGTTCTATGGATCAAGGAACTGCAGGAAGAAATGAAGTTGAACGAGAATTTCAAATCCTGGAACCGAGACCTCGGCCTGTTCACTGATGAAAATGGAACCGTCCGATGTAAGGGACGACTATCTAACTCGAACTTGCCATATTCAGCAAAGTATCCAATCCTGTTAGATACGGCTCATTACCTTACCACGCTAATCGTACGGGATTGTCACGAGCGGGTAATGCATGGGGGAGTAAAGGCAACATTGACAGAACTTCGGTCGAAATTCTGGTTAGTCCGTGGAAGGAACTTTGTAAGAAAACTCCTCTTCAATTGTGTCACCTGCAAGAAGCAAGATGGTAGAGCATACAAGGCACTTAACTCTCCGCCATTGCCGGAGTTTAGAGTAAAGGAAGCACCACCGTTTACGTACGTTGGCTTAGACTACGTCGGTCCTTTATATGTGAAATCTACGAACGATTTAGACGAGAAAGCATGGATTTGTTTGATTACCTGCTGTGTTTCTAGAGCGGTACACCTTGAAGTTGTTCCCAACATGACATCACAAGCCTTCCTGAGGAGTTTTAGGAGATTTACGTCACGACGTTCGACGCCATTGCTTGTCGTTTCGGACAACGCGAAAACCTTTAAGGCTGCGTCCAAAGAGTTAATGACACTCATGCGTGATCCTCAAGTGAAGAAATATTTCTTGCAGCAACGAATGCAGTGGTCGTTTAATCTGGAGAAAGCCCCGTGGTGGGGAGGTTTCTTTGAACGGCTTGTGGGATCATTGAAACGATGTTTGAAGAAAACCATCGGAAAGGCAAGATTGTCTTATGACGAGCTAGTTACAGCTGTCACGGAAGCAGAATCGATCCTGAACAGTCGACCCTTATCCTATGTATCCTCCGAGGACGTCGAGGAACCCCTCACCCCAGCCCATCTTCTGAGCGGAAGACGGATCCTGAGTTTACCTGATCGTCATCAAGAGAACCCTGAAGATGAAGATTTTCAAGTCGACCTATCGACGAATGACCTCAACAAACGAGTTCGCTATCTAAATGACATTATTGAACACTTTTGGCGAAGATGGCGGAACGAGTATTTGGTAGAGCTGAGAAATGCACATAAGAGTCCTAAGAAAACAGTAGAGAAATCTTCTGTGGAAGTTGGAGATATAGTACTAGTTCACGACGAGAACCATCCGCGTAGTTTCTGGAGAATTGGAAGAATAAAGGAACTTGTCAATAGCACGGCTGATGGGAAATCGAGAGGTGCAGTTGTACAAGTCATGAGCAAGAAAGGGAAAGTTACTACATTAAGGCGTCCATTACAGCTGTTATATCCTATGGAGATTAACTGTAAACTTGCGAAAGAAGAAGTACAATTGGAACAAGAGAATGGTGCTCAGGAGTCAACTGAATCCGAAAGACCAAGAAGGAGAGCGGCGATCGAAGGTGAACTGTTGATAAGACATTGGATTAAGGACATGAACCAGGTTTAGGGTAGTTGTAGATATACTGCATAGTGTTATATAATTAAGAACATTCCAATGAAGCTTCACGAACAGTCGTAAGGTGTTGGCCATATAAGATACATGTCCAACAGGGGGAGTGTGACGTATGCTTGTGTTTTGTTGAAATTATCGTTAGGGTTCGTTGTGGCATAATCAATATAATATATGCAAAATGGCGCGTAAAGAAACGTTTTCTGTACGTTGAGATGTAATATGTCTTGTGTAATATGTTCAAATTTGTCCTAAGTTTATATTAAATATTACGATAATACAGTCCATCGAAGTTTTTATAACAGTCATATCTTCTTAATGAGTTCAATGACCCCGACTTTTTTGTGTGATTTTACTTTAAGTATATCATAAACTCCATGCTTGGGTAGTTTCAGCACATTCTCATTTCGGGGACAATTACTGCGGAATTACTAGCCTGCGAACAGGCTCTCAAGCTGAATTGAGAGCCTGCATCGATGACTAATGAATTTGAATATCTGCCCCGTAACGTTCGTTTTTCCAAATATGGAATGTCTATCCTTATATGGTGTTGTTTACAACTTTCGTGCAAACTAAATTTAGACCGTGCAAACTAAATTTAGACCGTACAGTTTATACTGTTTTTCGAAATATAAGATATTCAAGCAAAAGTTCAGATGTTTTAAATACTGTTTTCTCAAAACAGAACATTTCGTGCTTTGAGATAAGACGGCCAAGACCAATTTGAGCAGTTAATGTGTTTTTTCATGCATAGTGCTTCAGCAGTTGACATATATAGAGCTCAGCGGAAACATATAAATTATAGCATCTGACCAATGAGAATTTCGCGTCACGATTTGAGACGCAGATATTCAAATTCATTAGTCATCGATGCAGGCTCTCAATTCAGCTTGAGAGCCTGTTCGCAGGCTACGGAATTACCTTAATACAGTACTAGAAAATACATGCATGCAGAAACCCTCGCCTTGCTGACAAAACCATTGTATTTTCCGAACACGAAGTATCCAAAGTAGTTGTCATGGTAACACGATAAATTTCTAAGAATATTCTTATACAAATGAAAAATCGCCTAAAAATATCACTTTTAATTACAAAATTATCAATTTCCCAACATATATATATTGGGTATGATATTACA